ATATTGGTTTTTCTTCGAACTCATATCCATCTAGTCTCCTCACAGACATTATTCCAAGAGTTGAGATTAACTAATGATGAGAGGGATTTAGTATAAATAAGAATACAACTTTTTAAAAAAATTTTATTTAAAGATACGATATTTTTTTATTAATTAAAATTACTACCTTTTAAATATTTCTAATCAAAAAAGAAAAAAAAAATTAAGAAAAATCATTCCTTAAAAAATGGGTAAAGAAAATATTACTTATTGCAAATAGTGTAAAAAAACAATAAATAAAAACATTAACTTTATCACTTGTTTATTATAATATTAAGATATAAAAATATTTAAATACTCCTAACTTCTTTTTTTATTTTCCTAAATTTCTTTTAGTTACTGAGAATAGGTTTGGTAGCCAGTAAGTAAAATAAAAAGGAAAATTAGGTGATATTATCACGACTTTAAAAATCATCTCTAATATTAAAAGAGTTGGGTTTTTTTTTTAGGACAGAGTGGAACCACTCTTGTTCACAATGTGAAGAACGTGCAAGGACCAGGACTGCTTTATACACTTCATTTTTTATTGATTTTTTCTAGACCTTAGTCATGCATGGCATTGAAATTTCATTTTTTTTTCTATTATTAAATATTTTCTTCCTACTTTTCACAAGATATCTTTTTCCATGGAGAACCAAGGCACATTTAGGTTTAGAATACTTCCCAATTATTTAAAATTTTAATTTTTTTATTATTTTATTATCATAAAAATATATAAAATATTAATTAAAATAAATATTAAAAATATTATATATATAATATATTTTTAAGACATTAAAAATCTAAAAACCTACCTCTACATCTACATTTTAGCACTTTCATACTAAGCCTCAGCGCAGATTCTTCGACGTTTAGGTGACTGTTGGTGTCGGCCACAAAAAAGTTGGTGTTGGTATATTCGGTGAAGGTATAATTTACAAAGTAGTCAATACCGTACCGGTATGCGTACCAATTTTGTTATTGGAACGGTATGTATCGGATACCGAAATTTTTTATGTACCGTTTCAGATTTATCGTTATAAAAAAATTTTATGAAAAATTTTGGGGAGAAGTTGAAGAAAAAAAACAAGAAAAGGACTCAATTGAAAAAATTAAAAAG